CGAATTGGGCAAATATATTTTCTACATATATCAACAGCGTTCACACAAAAATCGTTCTTCTATAATTGTAAATCTTCTTGAAATGCCCGTCTTGGTGTCAGGTATTGAAACATCAAATTTGTCAATTCGCAGCATCAACAGGCACCAGAAACCTTCATTATTAGTGCAACCTAACAACATGTAAATGGTAAAGAGAAACATTCTTCAATGTGCTTTTTCCAAAATTGCTGCTTTTTTCCCTTTGTATCCTCACTCTTCAAATAAGCAGTAAGCTTATTATATTTTCGAATATTTATATTCTTTATAGATCTTTATAGTAGCTTTCGACATCGAATACTTCGACAACATAGATGAAATTACACATCTTTTCTTCAAATTTAAAAGATACGCTAGCACGACTTCTTCATTTATTGTCATTACTCTCAGTTTTTTCCTCCATTCGTTAAATTCGGCGAATACTTTTCCGTAATGTTCCCTGGATTTTGCAAGCAATAAATGGAAAATTGCTTCTTAAGCTTCTTCAAAACAGCCACAGGAAAACGATTACTTTCTTGCATTTTTACCAAATTCAGATAGAACTGTTTATTAAATAATTTATAATCAACAACGTACCATAGCAACCACTAGGTAATAACAAAACCTACCACGTTTCATTGAGTACTAGTAAGAAATATCAAGTCGTGCGAATATTTTTTTACTAAATTCCAATAATTCCACAAATATGAAAGTTCTCTAGTTTAAACATTCGTGGATAAAATGCTACTTAAAACACTTATACAATAAATAACTATTATTTGGATCTTCGTGAGCTGTCAAAGTTAAGTTTTATCAACATTTAGATATGTGATCAGATAACACTTTGAACTATCAGGGCGCTTGTCTACAGTGGCTGACGACTTGAAACAAATATGCAAGTTACTCTAGTGTATTCAAGTCCTACATTCCTATCGAAATCTGCTAAAACTTTGGCTAAACCCTGAATTAGTTGATCAATCTTGCTATAAGAGTAAGCAATGCCAGAAGTACAAGCGAGCAAGCAGGAAAACTATGGTGAAACTTTTCTAATAGCCTTCATTCAATGTATCGAAAGTGTCTGTGCCATTCATTTATAACAGCTTAAGGATTATTTGTGATTCCGATTTAATCACTTCTAATGAGTTTGCTAAATAATTTAGTAGTGTACTGTCAATCAAAGGAACTTAATGGGTTTGTGTCAAGTTATAATGGATTTGTAAGTTCCAGTTCTCTATATGATTTGAACGTCACGACAGAAAGGGTGCGTAAATTATTAAAAAGACACTTCTGAATCCGGCAATACCTCACCAAAAATTATAAATGAATCATATCGTACAAATGGCTACTTCTACTAAATAATGCCAGTTGTTATGTGCTTTATATGGGAAAAAATAATTGGCACATTTTTATAAAAAACCCAACTCATTGGATTTAATTTTCAGGCAGACTTATGTGTGGTAGTTTCAAAAGGCTTATATTAAATAAATATTGCAAATAAACCTAATTATTTGTTATATTTATCACTCTATTCGGTTTTTCGAAATGGTGCACTTAATTGATCAAACTCGATTTCTTCTAGAACACTAGAATCAGTTTGCATCAAATTTAACATTCTACATGAGATTACTGATACTGGTACTTCAAAATCTTTGACACATATTTTTTGGTTGACGACTGTAAAACCAGATGGAACATGTCTATTTACTTGACGATTAAGAGATATGTACCATTCAGATCAATTTCAACCAAGGCCATCGCTGCCTTTGCATGACAATGCTAATCAGCAAATTGATGTGGATATCTAAGAATTCCTTCAGCGTTCCAATTGAAAGATTTTGGATCACCAATCACATAGTTCAGATATACGAGTAGGTCAAGCGATTTTCAATTAATTCAATATCTTAAGTATTTCTTGTATGAAAACCGGATTAAAAACAGTGACCAATTAAAATTAATATTCAAAATATACAAAAATAGTTAAACGATTTTTGTTTAAAGACAAAACGGGTGTCAGATTCTGGAAAACTCTTGTATGTTTACTTGTTATCAAAAAATAACATTCCACTACTGGAACTTTATTTTAGTTCCTGATAAATTAAACGGGCGCTATAAAGTTTTACGACCTTTATTCATTGTTTTCATCTACTTTGATAAGTTTCCCAGAATGTTTTAAGGTTATATTGTGTATCCACAACAAATAATATTGGAACTGTTGACCTCTGAACTGAGATACACGATGATAAATGCACTGGGAATTTTTCAGGCCGTTACATAATTATTTAGGCTAGTAATTCGATGAGCTGCATCCTGTGTCAATTGTGGTATTAGTAGTACTACAATCGAGAGTAAAGTATACAGGGTGCCGATGAAGATTGGGCCGCTGATTAAAACAAAATATAAACAAAAACTTGTTAAGTTGACTTACAAATATACATAATTCATTCACAATTAACACTGGCATAAATTTGATGACGCAAGACTTACCCTAACAGCCTCTTTGTTAAAAGCAACATATTTTTATTTAAAAAAAAATGGTGATTAACATTCTCCAATTGCTTCCAAAATTTACACTAAACAATAAAAAAAAGAAATTCTGCAAATCCTGTGACTAAACAAAATCCGAGCTCGTCGACGTTTCGAAAGACACATCGCTCTCTTCTTCAGAAAAAACTACGAAACTCAGCTAGTTACTTGGATGTTTATCGACCGATATGTTTCGAATGTGGGTGAGATATAAATTACAAAGTTTATCACATCTCATACAAAGCATTGCTTTATAGATACTATGGGTAATATGGAAGCATGATTAGTCGCAATATCATTAGTTAAAAAGCTTATTTTGTCTAGTGCAATGCTAGAATGCTAGAACAAAGCAAAAAGATAATATTACCTGGCTATTCCCACCCAGCAAACTACCCATATATCAAAATTGAACGACAAATGTCTATTGAGTGTTTTTTATGTGGTGCCATACTTTGAAAAATCAGAAAGTTAAAAATTATAATAAGCAGGTCAAAGATTGCCATGAAAGTGAAAGCAAGTACCAATCGAACAAAGAAATAATACAGGCACCATAAATTTAACACTTTTAATTGTGTTCATAGTAAAAATAAGAATTAACGTACAAGAAATGTAGGTAATGAATTATAAATATTAAGTTGTTAAACAAAAAATTGCAAAACAATCTATATTAAATATTAGTTTTATCGAACTATGGACTTTTACTTTTGGGATTTTATAAAACAAAAAGTTTATAAAAACAGACCAAGGAATTTGGATAGATGATTATTTTTAAATTTAAGAAGAGGATTAGAAAAATGTGTTCGACTGGAAAGAGGTTTGGTGGAGAAAGCTAAAGCTTAATTTAGATTAACGTTTTGCAGTTTTTTTTGTTTAAGAAATTAGTATTTATAATTCATTAATTTTTTGTAATTTATTATGTTTATAATTAATTAATAATAATTAATTAATATAATTAAAAGTATTAAATTTATATTGCCTGTATTCTTTCTTTGTCCTATTGGTACTTGTTTTTTACTTTCATGGCAACCTTTGACTTGCTTATTATAATTTTTAGTTGTCTGATTTTTTAAAGTTTGACACCACAAAAAAACACTCAATAGACGTGTCGTTCAAAAAACCCCGCACAGAATCAATGGAAAATGGGTCAAAGTCGATTTTTCTCAAATTGCAGTATGTTATAGTTTTTGACTTTCTTCTCAAAAGTTATCATGGGCCCAAAATGATCCTATGAATAGTTTCAGAGATAAAGAAGGGGGAAGTATGTGATTTTGGCTATAGGACTGAGTAAGCTTCACGAAGTTTCAAGTTGATCACCTGGAAATCAACTCAAGGTCATTTCATTTGACTTAATCTCAATTCAAGCCCCTCAGATGACCTTATAGTGCTAAGCTATCCCCGAACTCAGGTTCAGCAACCTCAAAAGCATACATACTTACAGGTTAACTTTCGTGAAAGGCCTTTTCTTTACTTCGACCTTGAAATGATCTTGACTTGACCGAAATGTGACCTTGTTGGGATAAGCTATCCCCGAATTCAGTTCTCTCCAAAAAAAAAACTTATATACGCACTGGTTGAAATTCAATACAAGCCTTTTCTTTAGTTTGACCTTAAACGACCTTCGTGAAAGGCCTTTTCTTTACTTTGACCCTGAAATGATCTTGACTTGACCGAAATGTGACCTTGTAAGGCTAAGCTTTCCCCGAATTCAGTTCCCCCCTCCCAAACAAGTCTTTTCTTCAGTTTGACCTTGAAACGACATTTACCTGACCTCCAGGTGACCTTAGATAGCTAAGTTATCCCCGAATTCAGGTTCAGTGATCCAAAAAGCATTGTACCTACTGGTCAAAATTACAACTTTCTGGAAAAACGACCCTTTTAAAAAATAAAATTATTAGTAGAATATAACCCCTCTTCAGAGTACTGTTTGTAAAAAAAAATTGGCTTGCGGAAAATGGGACACACTGTATATTATCGATTATTGCTGTGTCAAAACAATTAAAATAATATATTCAAAAGTATTATTTACATCAGTTGTTCAGACAATTTGAACTATCTCACATACTTTTGTCCTATGTGAAAATTTTTGTCAAATTGTGACGTAGAATCCACCATTAAAGTTTGGTCAAGTATTTTAGTTACACTCTCTACAAAAAATGTAGGGATGATGTAAGTTTTTTCTTTCTTTTTAATTACAGATGTTGAGAAATAAATTTCTAAAGTAACAACAGAGCTTTGTATAGAATTTGATTCGAAAAGGCCTGTATACATTTAATTAAAAAAGTCCTGCATAACTACCATTTAATTTAGAAAGGCCTTTATACATTTGATTAAAAAAGTCCTGCATAATCGAAGTTGTGATTGAGATATAAAGACGGCTTAGCAAACAAAAGAATTAATAGCTGCGATGCCTCGATTTACGTCTCGAGATTAGAACAATAAACGACGACTGTCTCTTGTTTCAGAGCCTGCCCGATGACCGTCAGCCGTCCCAGAAGGGGAAGTGTTAATGTGCCTTCCTAGTCACGTCCAGCAGCCTCTAGTAAGGCCCCAAGGCAGTTAGTTACGTCCACTACTCGACTCCAACAACAACAATGGACTTCGGTACGTGAATTATCAGATTATTATTCGGATTTCTTCTTTTACTCATTGAAATTTATTAACATCCCTTCTGCCGCGGCGACAGCGCATGAATGACAACTAGCTGCTCGCTGAGGCCGAATCTCTGAGGTCGAATTATTTAAATCGGCTCTGGGGCCCGTTTCTACGGCCGTCCCGAGGGGGGCATACATTATTTATGTGAGAGTTTTCGTGGCCGAGTACGTGAAAATCACCGGTCCTCTCGGAGCGAACGCGAACTGAAATTATGGAAAATCAAATATCTGGTTCTCCGCTACACTTGGGGGAATCCAGGTCAGAATTATCAATTGCCTTTCGGTATCTCGTCTGGCGGAGGTAGCCTTGTGGAAATTATCCTTTTTCAAATTGAATTTCGTCGCAGGGAAGTAGCTCATCCGTCCAATCCGCCAGGATATAGTGTATATGTCAATTTAAATAGGATTAAGGACTGTATATGAAATAGGCAGGGGATAATAATAGACGCGATTGCTTTATAAACATTGTTAAGATGGCATACACAAGGCGTGACGTAAGTGAGTAAGAATATTTTAGGAGGCCGTTCATCGACTCATTTTAAGAAGAAAAATTCATTCATATAAACCCTTCGTTTGGAGGATATTAATTTTTTGACGCAATATTTTGAAGATATTTAATGTAGACTGATGAAACTTGAACCAGTGATATTTCGTTACACTATCATTTTATCGAAAGAATATAGTCCAGACGGTATCTGTTTCAAAAAGCCATATTTGGGTGAATCGTATATCCACGGAGATTTTTGGCTTTTTGACTTTCAAATATCACTAGAAATGAAAATTTTTCTATGCGCATAGAAAAATCGTGGGCTTAACTTTTGGCGGCACAATATGTTAAAAAAATTCGAAAAATGTCATATTTTTCTTCCTATTTAATTATGTCTTTTCAAGAGTTGATTTTAGGCGAAAATGGAAGAGGAAAAAGATGTTTGTAATTAAATTTTTTACAAAACATGACTAGTTTCAAATCGAATGAATCATGATTATTATGGTAAAAATCGAAAAATTCACAAAAATGGGGTTAAAAAGCAATACTTTTTAGGGAATTTTTTTGGGGTATTTAAATTGGATATAGGACCTTTATACTTGGCTCAAGAAAACTTCATGTTATGTAGACTCTTCACACAAAATTTCATCAAAATCGGTTCGATAGATTTTGCATAATAATTTTGCAATCCAGACTGAAAAAAAATTTGCAAATTTTCAAAATTTTGCACAGCAAAAACCAAGGCCCTTAGATACTTTAATCACATATGGAAGGGGTCTCAAGCTTTCAATTTTTTTTTTGAAAAATTCGAATCCGTCAATTAGGAGAGCTCTGGCGCTTGTATAAACATTGGTCGAATTTTTGTACTTATAAACAATTAGAATAACTTTGTGAATATACAATCAAATCAAATTTTTTAAAACAGGTATTAAAAGTTCTTGGAAAGACGCTTCTTTTAAAAAAAAAATGAGAAAAATTTACAAATAATTCTTTCCGGTGTTGCCAGATTTCTGCAGTAGCTACTAAAACGATATTTTTTTAAATGGCAACACAAAATTATTTGTAAATTTTTCTTAATCAAGTTATTTCCTACAACTTTGCATTTGGAAGTACTAGTCTATTACTTTAAAAAAATAACACTGTCAATACAGGTTGTAGAGTTTCTTTTCCTAACGGTATATACGTGTATCTATTTCTTTCAAGGTCGTATTTTTCGAATACGAAATAATATATTGAAATGAAAGATTCTTTTTTTAATATTAATTTTTTTTTTGTGATTAAAGTATAATTCAAATATTATTTATTGTTTGAAATATAAGCAAATGAGAAATTAACTCATTATATTACTAATTTTCGTCATATTTTGAAAATAATTGTTGTTTAAACAATTTCAGAATATTTAAATAAATTTGTTTTTGATCTTTAATAAACAGTATATAAGTTAATGCACTTACCTTTGATACAATAGAAAAATAAAGTTGATAAGTAAAGGAAGTTTATGGGACTATTGAAAGACCAATAATTATTAACGATAGGCATTTGAAAATACACTAAAACTAAAAAAATCATCAAAATCGGACCTCTAGAAGGTGAGATATTAAAAATTTTTAAGCACATCGCGATTTTGAACTCGCCGATTCAATTTCGAGCAGGCCGAAGCGACCGCGCTCTCTGCTTTTAAAACCTGCTTTAAAAAATTTGATTTGACTGAATATTCACAAAGTTATTCTAATTGTTTATAAGAACAAAAATTCGACCAATGTTTAAACAAGCGCCAGAGCTCTCCTAATTGACGGATTCGAATTTTTCAAAAAAAGTTTGAAAGCTTGAGAGCCCTTCTATATGTGATTAAAATTTCAAAGTATCTAAGGGCCTTGGTTTTTGCTGTGCAAAATTTTGAAAATTTGCATTTTTTTTTCAAAATCTGGATTGCAAAATTATTATGCAAAATCTATAGAAACGATTTTGATGAAATTTGGTGTGAAGAGTCTACATAACATGAAGTTTTCTTGAGCCAAGTATAAAGGTCCTATACCCAATTTAAATACCCCAAAAAAATTCCCTAAAAAGTATTGTTTTTAACACCTTTTTGCGATTTTTTCGATTGTTACATAATAATCATGATTCATTCGACTAGTCATGTTTTGTAAAAAATTTAATTACAAGCAATTACTTCCTCTTCCATTTTCGCCTAAAATCAACCCTTGAAAAGATACATAATTAAATAGGAAGAAAAATATGATATTTTTCGAATTTTTTTAACATATTGTGCCGCCAAAAGTTAAGCCCAAGTTTTTTTTTATACGCATAGAAAAATTTTAATTTCTAGTGATATTTGAAAGCCAAAAAGTCAAAAATCTCCGTGGATATACGATTCACCCAAACCGAAATAGATACCGCCTAGTCTAATAAGGGTCTATCATATGATGGCACCTGAATTTGAAAATTTCGACAATCACAAGCAAAAAAATTGGGGCAAATTTTAGCCGACGACCCACCCAATTGAGACGCCCCACAGTGAAATATTGGACAAAATTCTCTCCACTCGCCAAGTTTTATCGTCTTTTCTTTCTCGTGGTAATCTGAATTTTCATTTTCCGGCGAGGTTTTCTCGAAAAACCCCTTTTTTAATGCTTAGGGAGCGCCCCAACCTCAATGTCGAAGAAAAAATTTTCAAATACTCGATGTTCAGTTGTAGAAAAAATGTTTAAAAAGTATCTGCTATTAATAAAATTCGAGTTAAACAAAATTTCAGGGTCTTTAGGTTATGTTTTCAGTTTTGACTAAAGGTTTTAGCGATCGCGATGATGAACACTCAACAAAAATACATTTATACTTTTTATTAAAGAAAATAATTTTGTGACACTTTTTTTCACTCTAATGATTTGATTTGACAATCTTTCCAGTTTTGAGGTTAGGTTATTGGGTTAAGGTGTCAGATTTGGGTACAGTATGACACAAGGTGTGTGCTCTAGGAAAAATTGTTGATCGAATCTCTGTACAATAAAGATATTTTTCATTTTTTTTATTAATCCTTAATTTAGTGAGTTTAAACTTAGTTAATGTTGGTTTTGAGATTAGGTTTTTTAGATTCAAATTCATGGTTTGGGTATAACATGTAACGTAGGGTTCTATTGAATCTATTTCATACTTTTGGCATGTAAAAAAAACTTTTTTTCCAATGTAAATTTCGTTTAAGGCTTTTAGGTTAGAATTAATAATTTTGAGGTCAGGTTTTTGAAGAAAAACATCAGACATATCATCAAGGGTCATAATAATCAATTTTATTAATAGCAGATACTTTTTAAACATTTTTTTTCTACAACTGAACATCTTTTCTTCGACATTGAGGTTCGGGCGCTCCCTAAGCATTAAAAAAAGGGTTTTTCGAAAAAACCTCACCGTAATATGAAAATTCAGATTACCACGAGATTATTAAAAAAAAATCATGAGACTATGAAAATTGGCGAGTGGCGAGAATTTAGTCCAATAATCTTTGAAAAATTTTTTAATAAATATTTCGACTTTTAATGAGCGTTCACGATGTCAAAATTCATAATTTTCCTTCAACCCATTTCGGAAATATTAAAAAAAAAATGAATTTTTTGAGACCCCATATAGGGGGGCGTAGCTCCCTTAGGAAGCATTTCTCGACCCGTGTATATATGAAAAAATATTCTTATTTTTGGCAATAGACTCAAGTGGTAAATTATTGGACACTAATTATGAGACACCCTGTATCGAATGATAATATCCAAAAACTCGATTGAACTGACGCTTAGTTGGCAAATTGCAAATAAGTTGCTTTTTCACTTTTTTTACTACCCTTGAAAATCTAGAAGACATTAACTGTATAATAAAGGTTGAATGCGGAAAAGTCAGTTTTCGGAAATTAATATTTTAAAAACGATGGATGTTGATGTTTATGAAAAAGAAGGTCAATCCAAAGACCAACATATGTGCTAAAGGCCAATTTATTTAACTTGGGAGGAAACATATTTCGGATTTAAAAAATAAAAAATTAAATCGAAAATGGCTTATTTTTTTAATAGAGTGGAAGAGGTATTTTTTCTTATAAATACAATTGGTTATCAAATGCAGCTATCGAAGTTCCTAAAACAGTTAGTGGTCTCGAAATTCTGTGGTTCTTAGTAAAAGTAAATCAGTCTCTAATCAACATAATTTTATACAAGTTCAGTGAAATTTTACCTTTGGTTAGTTAAATATCTAGCACAAGTTTTATCAGTTTCCGTCAGATATCTTCAGATGTATTTACGTCATTGTTACATTTTCAAGTACCTTAAAAACCATCCGTTTAGAAATAGGTTCTCTAGTGAGGGTTATTCCATATTCCTGATGATAATTTATAGATGTATGTTTTCCAGAAATGCTTTTATTTATATGTGAAATATTTACAATTTTCATCCTAGCAACCTTTTGTAATTTGATGAGGAAGAACTAGG